CTGAATCTCTCTTGCCTTCTACTGCATTTGCTGCTGAATGCTGTAGCACTTGAGGTAACTCTTCATACCTATCCTACCTTCTTCAAGTAATTCAGTTATGAGGTTTTTCTTTGTCCTGATTGCAGATCACATATAATAGCACAGTTTTAGTCATCGTTAGTCATCAAATCCATTTACGTTTTCCCAGTAGAACTATAATATATTGCATTTTTAATTACAATAGAAAAACTATTCTGTTCAATGTGTGATTTTTCAATCTTTGCTTTACAAAGGCTATTTCTACTTAATTCAGAATAAAAGAAAAGAAAGGAAAAAACATTACTGACAATGTAACCAGTCTCAGAACCATATCAATAATAAGCTTACGCCAGTATTGAGACATCTTTGTTCTCTGATGTGTTGGAAGCGTATTTATAATCCTCAGCATTGTTGACAATATATAGATACATTCAGAGCTTTATGTGCAGTGCTGTGTTCCTTTGTTATGAAATAATTTATATGGTTACTTTCATCTCTCTCCATAGCTACAGTGTGTACTTGTTTGTTATAGAGCTTTGCTGGTTGGCTGGGAGTGCCAACACTTCCTCCTGACAGAAGAATAACTGCTTTGAGGACATCCACTGTTTTTAAATAATTCCACCTTTTCATTTCAGTTTTTGCTGCCTGTCAGACTTTCTTCTAATAACTTTTAAATACATCCAGCATTTAAATTTCCAACGGTAAGTCTGTTCTGTTTGCACACAGATTCACAAGCAGTTCTGATGAGATCAACTCCAAATTTTTATAGCAACATTGGCTCTGATATAGTGAAATCTGCATACATAAAAGGAGAGCATCAATTTAATCAGCAAAGGCATGAAAATATTTATAATATTAGAATATAATATATAAATATTTTTATAATATTAATAATTTCTCACAATATTTAATATATCATAAGGTAAGACTATTTTCAAATCTAGCAGTTGGTTTATTATGACATGGCTGAATTGTTTTATGCTCATACTATCACCTTATATAATATTAGTGTCTAGGAATCCAAAAAAGACTGAAAACATGAAGGTGTTGATGTTATCAACACTGCAATTCCCTCTCTTATTCTGTCTTTGATAACATCAGTGTTTTATGTCTAATGTAATTTTCCAGAGATTTCTATGAAGAATTTTGAAATTTCAAAGCAATGGTTCAGTTTGGGAAAGAAAACATTGGAAATTAGTCTTTCTTGAGAAATACTGATTTTGAGTTTTGATAAACTCACTTTTTTTCTAGCTCAGGGATCAGTTAATCTGTTTTTCTCAGAAGAAGACTCAACAAAACTGCAATAACATGGTCTATACCCTACCTTTTTAAAAAATGTGTCTATAATTGAAATCTTTCAATATCATTCAGTTTTTCTTTTTATGCCTTGATAGCTGGTCTTACAGAGTCATCCATTCAGTCCTGTATCAGGTCTGGTAGTCTTTCATCCAAGCATGGCAAGAGGATTCAAATTTTGGTACAATCTAAACCAAAAAATGCTACTTTTTTTTGAATTGAACACTCTCACTTTTTAAAATAAACTCTGCCCAGATTTAAAATTTTGTAGTGGATTTGTATGATTACGTTCCTGTGGATGGATTTACTCTCCTAGAGCAGAGAAAAATTGAATGTGTGCTTGGTTGCTATGGGGCAGCTATGTTTTTAATCAAAGCACATCCTTTTTCGACTTTTCTTTTATGCTGGAAGAAAAAAATACTAGAAAGATATTAATTGCTAGAAGCACTTAGTAGACTTTCCTTTTGCATTCATGTGAGTGACCACAGTACATGTAGACACCAGCTTCATCCTGTGCACATTGTCTGCTTTTATATCTCTGGGAGCTATTTCTGCCTGCAGAATGTGTTCCTAGAGTACATTTTCAGAGGTTCTTGTCCTACAAAGTGGGTACAGATTTCTACCCTAGCCATTTTTAGAGTAAAACACAAAACAGACTTGACAAAACCAGTCCTGCAGAAATTCACCTATGTTTTTCAATCTCTCCATCTTCATTCAAAATGAAAATTATGAAAAGAATGAGGTGTATTGTCACTTCAAATAAAAATGACATTTTTTTTCCTACAGCCTCAATCTTAGTTTTAGTCCAAAGTTCTCAAATAATCAAATATACAAATAATATTTTATGTCAGGTCAAATGAAGCATTTAAACTGATCCAAGACTTTTTTTTTTTACGTCTCAGTTTGTCAGAGCTTCATAGGTCAACTCAAATTACTTCATTTATTTTCTTGAAATGACAGCAAACAAACAGAAGCAAACCAGAATTTCACATAACTTTCAGCTCTAGTTGAAAATGAACTTAAAATATAGAGAGTTTGGACAAGACAGTGAATGACCTTCAGTTCCAGATAATATTCCTTCTTGGCTATCTTCCCCAAAAGATTTGATTTTGCCTTTCCAGCCTCAGTTTTACTTCTCTTGTGTTTATTATTTGATAAAGTGCCAGTAAATATACTTGTAGATCAGCAATACACCAAAGATTATTTTCTTGCTGTGTTAGCTGGATTCTTAAGCTGCTTGTGGTTTATTTTGTTGCTGAAGTAGATTTTATTCTACTGTCTGTCTGGGATATATCACTGTTACAGCTCGAGTGCCATAAGCTGTGTGCACAGAGGAGGCTAAAGCATAATTATCATTGTAGGTATAGGGAGTTTTATCTGATGCTCTCCTCCTGGTTAGTCTTATTGTTTCCGGACACAAATCTAACCAAATTAATTACTGATGCAACAATCCAACATCAGGGCATGTAACATGTGCTTAACTTTTCTGCAGGACTTTCATTTTAAGATTAAAATTCAAATATTAAAGGTCTTTCCCTTGATCCTAACTAAATGACATATTTGTAAGAGTTGTGTGAAACACTGCAAGGAAAAGGTTGTGAAAACTCAGATGTTGGCACAGCCAAAACAACTGCTCCTGAGTTAATGTAGGGATATATCTTCCTCTGGTTTGCACTTGCAAAAGCCTGCTTTGATAACATTGCTAATATCACCTTCAGGATGCAGAGAAGGAACAAATCATGCATCAGCAAACTGCAATGAACCAGTCAGCTTTAGCCTGCTTCTGGAACTTCATCCTTTGCTGTGTTTATATTTTTCTCCATTAGAGACCCACAGCAGGAGATGCAAAATTCGTCATCACTAGGTTATTCCTGCCAAGGGTTTCCTGAACACACTAGGCTGTAGCATAGAAATGTTGGACCAGGCTAGTATTGGCGCTTCAAGGATTAACCATGTATCTATCCTCTTCCTCCTTAAGGCCAGTTCTGTATTCAGAGGATACCATCAGATGCACAGTCATAACTGTTAAGATGGACTGAGTTTATCTTTGAAACCATAACAGCAAAAAGCACCAGAGATTCCCACAGCAGACATTGAGCAGCTTTAATCTGCTGATGGACACCTCTACAAAGACTGGTGTATCAGCTAGCAGAGCTCACCACACCTCTGCCCAGACTGGGAGCAAAACCAGGACTTCACAGAACTCTGCCACATGCTGGTTCCTGTGAGACCCATGGCAAAACACAGGGAATCTGTTTATCAGCCAGCTGAGAAATTAGCAGTGGTGAGTGTACCAACACAATCAACAAATATGTGGCTCACGGGAAATGTATATTTTATGTCAGAACAAATGGAATTTCTGCAACCAGTGTACACAAGTATACAGGAAAATGGATTACTTGTCACAAAAGCACCTGCTATTACAAATATGGTATTTTCAAACTAATCAAATTTTCCTGTTGTCTATAAAAAAAGATCTTAGAAATTAGTGTACCAACTACAATAATATAACTAGCTGCAGAACATTCAAACAAACTTCCATTTGCCAAGTGTCATTAAGATCTGTAAATAATGGGTCTAGGTAATAGTGTAGGATAAAATCTGATCACTTTTTGCTGGTTTGATGCCACCTAATCTTTTCTTCAGAGAAAGAAAAAGCACTAATACGGCTAGGAGGAAAAATGTAACATTTAACATGGCTCTCCCTAATTAGCCCTGCTAAGAAACCATCCAATGGAGCAGAACAGCACATATCTGCATCTAGCAAGCTCTGGGCATTTAGTTCAGGTATCTTGATGCAGTGGCCCTTTGTGCTGTAGAGATATGGCATACACCATAATGATGTTTATCAGCCTGCTCACGCCATAATTAATTAGGGAGCTGTTCTGAAGACCAAGGCTTTTGGAAATATACAGTGATGACAATTAAAATGTTGGCATTTGTCAACAGTTACTTCACCTCAGGCACTACCTAGTAAGTCACAGTCTGCTGCGTACATGGAACTGAAATAACCATGGTAACTCTGGGTATATAGTGACATTTTAATGATCACTACCATCTATCCTCAGGCCATCAACTTGCAGAACTAAATGGCCCATCAAGAAGCAGATGAATAAAGTGCCGTCCATACAACGCATGAAAAATGTTAAGCACTTTTAGGGATTAAAGCCATTTATATCTACCTCAGAAGGGAAAAGGGAGAGATAAACATAATAGAAAAGCATGTATTATGGAGAAATAATGAAACTTCCCCATCCTACTGCAGCAAATGCCACTAAAATGTCAGTATCTACCAATAGCTAGCAGAAATTGGTATCTAAGATACCAAAATTATTTCCTATTTTAAGTATAAGTGCCTCTTACTACATACTGACTTTATAAATGGCAGCAGCAATATCAAAGGTCTTTCATGCTCACTCACTGCCTAACTGCAGTAGGAAAACTATCACTTATAAACCATAGCAATTGTCAAGGAAAGAAGGGGATGCAATACAGTAGATTATTAGCACTGTCATACAATCTGCCAAAAGATGTCAGAATCCTCTATTTTGTCATTTTTTCATCATTCTGATGAAAAGTCTGATTTTTTTGTGTGTGTGCAGGTGTGATATTATTTTTTCCATGGAGGATTTGAATATATATAAAATTATCTATAAAACTGTCTTGTACTTAGAATTTTCACTTACCAAAATGAAGAGACAACCAGAGGCAAGTTTTGTGTGTTCAGGAATAGTAGAAAACACGGACAAAATCAAGCAACCAAACACAAGGAGAAAACTGAAAAAGAAAGAATATTAATATTTGTTAATACTTTTCAGAATCCTGACCTAGTATCTATATTGATCCTACTTCACCAATTAATAGAAGACTGCCAAGGAGTGCTCTTCATTAATAGAGGTGAATTGAACTACTCAATTCATTAAAGACATTAGAATAACCTGTTACTAAATCCACATGCTTCCAAGCAGCACTGCTAGAATTAATGAAACAAGCACGCTATTTTCTTGGAGAAATGACCCAATATACACAGATGTTACTTTTGGTATTACAATCCTGTACCTTTATGCAGTCCAGATACCCTTAGTGCCTCTAAAAAAAGATCTTCAATGGGAGAATCCTCTTCCTGGTCTGAAAAATAATTTCTCCTACAACCAACCAGAAATATCTGCTGCATAAGCTTACCAAAGAGTTAAGTTACATATTGCACCTATCTGTCCATATGAAATTCCTTCTTTCTGACCAACAGATTTCATTTGCAAACTACCAGAAGCTGAGAGGTAGCGCTAAGGCATCGTTGCCCTAAATGAAGAGGCTCCATTCTGGGAACAAATTTAATGTCGTAGAATCTGGTGAAGGAGTTAAAACAATTAAGAAAGTCTTAGACAAGCCATGCAATTACAATCAGGAAAACAAGACAACAATTTTGAGTTTGCATGAGCCTGTATGTTTCATGATACTAATGAATACATGCAGGCAAGAAAACCCACCAACATGGTGCTAAATCCTTTTGTGATGACGAAGCAAAAAAAATTGGTATCACTGCAGAAATTCTTGCATATCTCATGTCCAATCATAACAGCATGCAGCACATGTGGTGTTTTCAGACATGAGCCTGCAGAACTGGTGTTGCTCTGAGAACTATACTGTTGATGGTAAGGATTATCCTTTCCTGTTGTACTCTTTCACCACCAACAATACCACTGTGCTAGTGAAACCATCTATGAACTCGATGAGAAAAGAGGTTCATTCCACCCACAATATCACGAACTGACTAACCAGCAGCCAGTAATAATTGATTCTACCAAAGTTTTGCTAACTTCCTTCTTAAAACACTTAGTCATGCAGGCCTTTGACTTTTGTTTGAATTTCTGGGACTCATTACCAGATGCTCTAATCCAGCATGAATAGGTACTGTAATTAATGCAGATACATATCCCTCCCTGCCCTTATCCCAACTCACAAACCTTTTGTTATACTTTCTATCCCATGTCCAGCTTAGGATGGGGAATGATAAAGCTACTTTTGTGGGCACCAAGTCTCCCGCCAGGGTCAACAAATCGCACTGTGAAACCTCTGTCCCCTAAGATTGCAGAACCTGGCTGAAAAAGGCATGGTCTGACTTTGAGGTGAGCCCTGATTTGAGGAGGAAGTTGGACTGAATGACTCAAAGACGCCTTTTTCAGTCTAAATACTTCTATTTTTCTAACTACTGGATACAAACATTAGTATATTATGGCATCTGCGCCCACTTGTGCCTCAGGAGCTGCAATTACTTCTACCCATATAACATATGGACTTTCCGTAGTGCTATAAAATAGTAGTGCTGTAATATATCCAATACATTAGATAAAAATATAAGTCCAGTCTTCAGAATTTCTAGTAGAAAATCTCTATATGCAATGCAATAAGATATTGGAGACACATTTTTGTAGCGTATTACTTAACTGCTGCGGAGAAGTTCTATTCTGAAAATCAAATATGATAGGAGCTTGCATATAAGTTCTATTAAAGACTGTAAATAAACCAGTATCCAGAAGGGTAAAGTACATATCTGGCACACCCCCTTATCCAGTCTTGTCTTCTAGATTAAAGAAAGGTGAAGATCAGCACATGCTTCAAGGTTTCATAAAAGACTCATTCAAGACTCATGCAATCCCAAGCACAGGCTGGGCAGAGAATGGATCAAGAGCAATTCTAGGGAGAAAGACTTGGAGTGTTTGTGGTCAAAAAGCTCAACATAACTTGGCAATGCATGCTCAGGGCCCAGAAAGTCAACTACATCCTGGGTTGCATCAAAAGAAGAGTGGCCAGAGGTCAAGGGAAAGTGATTCTGCCTCTCTGCTCTGCTCTTGTGAGATCCCACTTGGAGAGCTGCATACAGCTCTGAGGCCTCAGTATAAGGAAGATGATGACCTGTTGGAATGTCTCCTTTCCCAGAGGAGAGCCACTGAGTTGATCACAGGGCTGGACCACCTCTCCTATGAACACAGGCTGAGAGAGTTGGGGTTGTTCAGCCCTCCCCTCAGAAAAGAAGGCTCAGGCAAGACATTGTAACAGCCTTCCAGTACATAAGGGGGACTACAAGAGAGCTGGAAAGGGACTTTTTGCAATGGCATATAGTAATAGGACAACAGGGAAAGCTTTGAGCTGAAGGAGGGAAGATATTGGTTAGCTATTAGGAAGAAATTTTTTACTATGAGGATGGTGAGGCACTGGAACAGATTGCCCAGAGAGGAGGTAGACTGCACTTCTCTGAAGGTGTTCAAGGCCAGGTTGGATGGGGTTCTGAATAACCTGATCTAGTGGAAGGTTCTCTGCCCATAGTAGGGGGGTTGGTACTAGATGATCTTTAAAGTCCCTTCCAACCCAAACCATTCTATGATTCTATTATTCTATGATTCTGTGATTCTGTGATTCTATGAAAAGTGACAAAAATCCATCTTGTGAGCATTTTTGCTCCCCTTGCCCTCACTTAATAAAAAAGGAAAATCTCACAGAACATTACTAGTAGTTTCAGCTGCTACAGTTTTCAGATGCAACTCCCCTACAACTACATACTACTGACATAGACATAAATGTGGTTTCTCCTCATTAAGACTTGCACAGAAGGCAAAAAAAATTTAAGAAGTGACTAAGAATTTATGGTAAAAGAATGTAATTTCCTTTTACTGAATTTCCTTAGACCCAAATCAATTAAAATGATGTTTTCTTACTTTGTGTTTAGGTATGAAAACTCGCTCTTATCTGGTTCTATTCCTGTAATACCAACTAAATTGGAAGCCCAGTTGTACTGGATCTTGTCCAAACACACAATACAAGTTTTGACTTGGAAGAGATCTCTTACAGCATAATTATTGAAAACAGACACAGCAGGAAGAAAGACAGTTTCTTGTTCCCATATCACAGCTGGAGAGCACAGTAAAGGTAAGGGACTTGCCAAAGGCTACACAGAAAGTCTTTATATGTGGAATAAACCTAAATCTTTTAAGTCGCAGTCCAGTCTTGCAGTCACAAACCATATTTCACTCACCCACCACTTGCTCTGCCACAGTCCATCAGGACGGTGATTTAGAACATCACTGTGGGCAGTGTTAATTCTCAATAGGAATGAGAACAGTTAACCAGTGTATCAATCAAAATAAAGACAAATATTCAGGAAAGCCAGGTGCAGTGTAGATCAGCACCTGGCAGACATAGTTCTGAGGTTACTCATGCAAAGCAGAAACAACCATTGCAATACACAAGAATAGTCTTGGAAAGAAATTTTTCCAAAGTTCTATAACTTTATTAGAGTTTCCCCAGAAACTCTAGAAGGAATGGAGCATTGTTATTCATTATTATTATTATTAAAGGACAAAGGAAAAATATTTGCATTTATCCATTCACACATTCAAATCTTGCCCCTCTATCCCTCATTCCTCCCTCCAATACTGAACACTTTTTTACTGCCACTCAGCACATTATGTCTAAAATTAGAAGAGGAGAAACCCAGGGAATGGAAGGGAAGGGGAGAAACCCAGTCCTATTAGCCTGGTAAAACTAAAAGCATATTTTTTGGTGCTGTAAAACACAGCAGTTGCAAAAAACCCACAATATTTTCATTAGTTTATATACATTATAAGTGCTTTCCTTCAAAGTACACTAATAGTCAGGATTCACTATCTATCTTTTTTAATGCAATCTGTTTATTCAGGTCATGCAATGAAAGCACCTCTCCCTTTCCCCAGCTACAACTAAAGGCATGAAGGATGCAGCAACATCTTTCGCCTAGCTGGATGTTAAACTAGGATCTGTCCAGCAAAAATAAATTCCTAAGGTTCAAACATCTCAGTGGTCAAAGTCTCTCAAAAGCTGTTCTTTCCTATTGTGAACTATTTCTCCAGTGACAGATGAAGTGCAGTGGCTTGCATTAAGCCCTGGATAGTGATTCTGTAACCCTCAATAAAAGAAAAAGTATTTTCATCATTTGAGCTGTGTGCTATGATACATGCTGTACAAGAGGATGCTGCTGTAGGTAGAGTGTAGCACAAAGCAAAACACAGAGCAATTATATTTGGCCTCTAGTGGATCAATCTGGATCATATAATTGTTCAGGCTGAAAAAAACAGATGGTCTTTCCTCATGCATTCAGTATCAGACAGTAAAACATATGCCTTAGGCAGCAACTTCCCACAAAATTATTCAAGTACTGCCATAACCTTGTATTTTATCAAAAGCAGCAACTTCCATTTTGTTTCAGCAGTAATCAGTTTTGTTGTAGATCCTTTCATCTTGTTCTGCTGTTCCTGAAAGACTACACTAATTGGAGAAAAGCCAGTTTATGAAAGATAATATAACTCAGAAGCTTTGATATTTAATCAATCTGCTCCTCATAAACTTTTCTTATTGGTTAATTAAGGCCTACCAATTCTCCATTTATTTAACTTTCAGCAGAATTTTACTATAGTTTGTGATTTAAGGGCTGTTCACATGGAGGAGTATGTCCAGCTTAAAGCAATTGTTAAAACATTACTCGGGGAATATCATAAGGACAAAAAATACACCCGTGGAAGATGTTTAAGACCTATTTTGCCATATTATTTAGTGCTAGAATTAAAACAATCAAAAGTTAACATCTGCAAACAGTTTTGTGGCCTCTTCTGTAAATAGTAAAAATGTATCACTGTTGAAGTGGCATAATTAAGTGATTAGACCACCAGAGTTATGTTCCAGTATTATTTGAGGTCTGCTTTAATCCCCATAAATGCAAGGGCACTCAGAATTATGACCAAAACTGT